AAAGTGGATCAGATCCTCCATCAGTGTGCTCACTGAACCTAGAATACACCAGTTCGTATGTCACTTCCTGTGCGAGGCCCGAGGCAGTTGATCATCCTCCCAGATTATAACTGAGACCATTTTTACCATTCACATGTGTCTGTGCATGAAGGGAGAGGGTCTTTAGGCAGTGCAATATTTCTAGTTTATGTTAATGTACTCATTGGTTTAGGAGCCTGTTATGTAAATGATGTAAACTGTCTCCTATAGTAACAAATATGATGGTCCTTATTTTTACTGTCAGTACTTAACTGATCTATATAATTTTTAAATGTCTGATCAACACAGTCCACAGGTTATCATTTCTCTTCTGCGCGTGCAGGAAAGCTGATGTTAAATTCCTCGGACAGGAAGTGAGACAGGAAGTGAAGACAGTATTAATATGTTGCTGATCTGATGGAAACAAATAAAAGACCTAAAACGTGTCTGTAACGGACTGAACCACAGCCAATCAGAGCGGTAGAGAATATGTAACTGGATTCATGCTGACACCTGCTTGGCCAGAGCTCGCTATTACCACTGTCTGTGGGTGCTGAGGTCATTAAATATTAATATTATTAATAATATTACAGTAATAATTTATTACCCTGTCACTGTGAGTGCTGAGGACAACAGTCTAGAGACAGGTGTATAAAGTTTCAATAGTAAAGTCAGTCAGCAGAGTTTTTACCTGTAGTTTTTCTATTTGAATTTTCAGGTCAGTTTTATTGTTTACTTTGTTTGTAGCTGTAGTTTTCTATTAAATGATATGAGGGTTTATTGTAAGAATAGATAACAAATACAAACACACTGTATAACATTTGAACACTGGCTCCTTCGCTCCGCTGTCCTTCACTAATTTAACCTTTAAATTAGACATTTCTTAATATTCTTTATTTATTAAAAGTCTGTCTGTAAGTGAAGTAAAGTATATTTTAGTTTCAGTTACTTTTGTTCATTGTTATTGAATATTTAGTTAATGGAAGAGCTCATGATCATGTTTACTTTTCCTGACACAATAATCAGCTTTAATATTATTACAGCTGAATTTATATATTGAATTTTATTATTTGATCTATTTATTTATTAATATTTTCAGTTCCAGTACGTTATTATTTGTGGTTTATTTATATGTATTTACTGTTTCATGTACTTAAATATTTTTCTTAATGTTTCGTTATATGAGGCTTTCCATTTATTATGTTGATCACAACCAACATTGTGATGGACGGACTGGGTCAGAACATCTTCAAACCTGCAGGCTCTTGTGGGGGGTCCGGTCTGCAGGGGAGGTCAGTACCTATCAAAGGGTGGGTCCAAGGAAGAACAGAACCAGAGACAGGTCATGGGCGAGCTCATTGCATGCAGGTGGGAGTGAAGGGCTGAGCCCGTGTGGGTCCGATCCAACAGACGAGCTACTGTAGCTCAAAACTGAAATCAGTAATGCTGGTCTGATAGAAAGGGCTCAGAACACCACAGTGCAGAGCATACACTGATATGATTGATCACTAACAGTCTATATAGACTCGGATACAATTGATCACTTACAGTTTATAGACTGAAAATATTATCAATAACAGTATATATACTGGATACATTGATCACAACAGTTTAAATAGACTAAGATATATTGATCACTTACACTTTATAGGACTGGATGACATTTTGGTTTAGTGTGGTGAATTGTATGGGAGGAAGAGTGTGAACATTATAATGGTTGGGCACGCACTGTGATGATGAATGGATGATGATGATGAAATGATGATGAAGATGCTGAAAATTCCTCTGTACTTCTGTCGAACTCTCGAAGATAAAACACATCACAGTCAGTGTGAAAGTGAATAAGCAGAAATTCACGATAGCTCTCTGTCACAGGAAGGACTCAGACACTGAACCCTTCATGTCTTGTGGTTCTTCCCATCCGTCTCCGTTCCTAACCGGCTTATTTAGAGGAAAAAAACCCACGTCTGTATACCACGTACTGCACAAGAGCAACCTCCTGAGAAAACCTGAGCTTGTTCCATAGACCGCAACTCATCCCTGGAGAGAAAGATCTGTTTCAGTTCAGTGAGTCAAATAACTCAACGTCAGGGTTGAAACAGTTTGAAAACATTTCAAAGTGACGAGCTAATAATGCTAAAAAATAACACGACAGAAAGTCATACACATGACCTGAAACATACTGGAACATTCAACAAATAATTAATTTAAAAAACCTACCAGTGTAACTTTCTGCACCTTGGCTACTGACTCATCCAACATCAAAAGTGGAGATCAATAGGGAGATTGTTGATCTTCACCCGCAAAATTGGCGTCATTGCAGTTCAGCAATCTCACCGTGTAAGGATCCTTCAGTGTTCATCTTGTCAAAGTGGATCAGATCCTCATCAGTGTGCTCACTGAACCAGAACACCAGTTCGTATGTCACTTCCTGTGCGAGGCCGAGGCAGTTTGATCCTCCTCCAGATTAATAACTGAGACCATTTTTACCATTCACATGTGTCTGTGCATGAAGGGAGGAGGGGTCTTTAGGCAGTGCATATATTTCTAGGTTTATGTTAATGTGACTCATGTTTAGGAGCCTGTTATGTAAATGATGTAAACTGTCTCATAGTACAACCATATGATGGTCTTATTTTACTGTCAGTACTTAAACTGATCATATATTTTAATGTCTGATCAACACAGTCCACAGGTTATCATTTCTCTTCTGCGCGTGCAGGAAAGCTGATGTTAAATTCCTCGGACAGGAAGTGAGACAGGAAGTGAGACAGTCATTAATATGTTGCTGATCTGATGGAAACAAATAAAAGACTCTAAAGTGTCTGTACGGACTGAACCACAGCCAATCAGAGCGTAGAGAATATGTAACTGATTCATGCTGACACCTGCTGGCCAGAGCTCGCTATTACACTGTCTGTGGGTGCTGAGGTCATTAATATTAATATTATTAATAATATTACAGTAATATTATTACCCTGTCTGTGAGTGCTGAGGACCAGACCAGAGACAGGATGTATAAAGCCTTTCAAAGTAAGAGTCAGTCCACAGCAGAGTTATTATACTGAGATTTTTCTATTTGAATTTTCAGGTCAGTTTTTATTGTTTATTGTTGAGCTGTAGTTTTTATTATGATATGGAGGTTATTGTAAGAATAGATAACACAATACAAACACACTGTATAACATTTGAACCACTGCCTCCTCGCTCGCTGTCTTCACTAATTTAACTAATTAAGACATTTCTTAATATTCTTATTTATTACAAAAGTCTGTCTGTCAGTGAAGTAAAGTATATTTAGTTTCAGTTACTTTTGTATCATTTGTTTATTGAATATTTAGTTAGGAAGAGCATCAGTCAGTTTACTTCCTGACACAATATCAGCTTTAATTATTAACAGCTGATTAATATGAATTATATTGATCTATTATTATATACAGTCAGACGTTATAGGTTTAAAGTATTTTACTGTTTAGACTTTAATAATTCATATTTCGTAATAGAAAGCTTCATTTATGTGACATCACTTCTTTTTTAATATCACCAATATTTCAATCATGATTGGATCTGCTGAGATCAGCTGTCACCATGACAACAGTGTGCACTAAACAGTGCTGGTGTGGTTGTATGATCAATAAATGACCATCAGGTTTTCTATCAATCAAAATAATAATCAATAGATGGATCAATAATCAGTATCAGAGAAATACATTCATGAATTTTAAAGCCCTTCTATCAGTTTCTCATTATTGATTTCTGATCAGTTTTACAGACACAGTAAACATGCCCACTGACCTCTGCGGACAGGAAGTGGCTGAGTACATTCATTGGTTGGTTGGTTCACTAACAAACTTTAAATATGAAGACTAGCTAATGCTAGCTGTCTGTAGCTAAGCTAAGGTTAGCAGTTAGCAGGAGTCTCACCTGAAACAACCACAGACAGTTTCTATAAGAGCTGAACACACTCACCTGTTGGTCTCCATCTTCTTCCACCTGCAGTCCCGTACGTCAGTCACAGGTGAACCTGCGTGTTTTAGGGGCGGGGCTAACGGTGCCCTAGCTTGTGTTTTGTCATATTTTATCCTGACATAATCTGTGACAGCCAATCAGAGCCGAGACAGACAGATTAACCTGAGAACAATCAATCATCGTTCTCAGCTCTGATTGGCTGTCACAGACTGACTCATGTTCTAATAAAGTGAAATATGACAAAGAGTTTATGTACTTTTACATTTTCAATCTTCTTCTCATCATTTTCACTCAACACAGTATTTTTATATTTTACTGTTGGGAATGAGCTTCCATATAAACTAATAATAAAACAGTATTTGCAGAGATTAGCTGCTAACGTTAGCTCAGCTTGTTTCTCATCCACTGAAAGGCATCATTAGCTGAATGAAATGAAGACATTTCTAACAACGTTGTTATCTTTAAGTAACACACAGATATAATTCATATTATTATCATATCATATATCACATATTCATTCATATTGTGTGACAGAACCAGAGCAGACACAGAAAACCTTCATGATTAATAACGAGGCGTCAGACGAGGCATTCATGGCTAACTTGATTTTTTATTTGCACGTCCAATTAGTGTTAACAAACCTAAGACGGAGGTTAGCATCCAGGTCTACAGCAGGGGGCGCTCAAACACACTAAAGCTCCGAGGACATCAGACAGGAAGGAAACCAGCAAACATCTTCACATCTGTACAAATCTACAGCCAGTGAGTGCGCGACTGCGTCCTCTGCACGTCTCAACCTAATGGACGTCTTTGAGTTTGAACCTCTGAAGTGTTAGCGAGCTGTCGGCTTCGCTGAGGAGCAGATTTAAGGTGGATTAACTTTAAACAGTCTGCCATCGAAGATAATCAACTAAATATTCAAACCAAGCTGGGATTTATAAAACAAATCGATGCAAAACAGCTGCAACAGCGCCACCAGCTGGCAGGGAAACCAGTGCAGGTTAGAGGACGACGCTCGGCTGGGAAGAAAGGAGACGGAGAGAAAGACAGGAAGCGACTGTGGTTGCTAACGATGACTTCATAAGCTCATTAGACGCCGTAATGGTTGTTGTAATGGTTGTTGTATGCTCTTCTCATTACAGCCTCACAGCTCATATGAACAGACACACCTGCTGCCTGCTCACCTGCTGCCTGTTCACCTGCTGCCTGTCCACCTGCTGCCTGTCCACCTGCTGCCTGTCCACCTGCTGCCTGCTCACCTGCTGCCTGTTCACCTGTCCGTCTCTCCCACAGCGCCGGAGGATGGGCGGGAACCACACACCTGAAACTAACATTCAGCGGTTATTAGCCGTAACCATGGTAACGTACTGTGGCTAACGTGTGCTGTAATGTTTGAGATGTAGACGGTGTCACCTTCATGACACCAGTTCTACCCGCAGGAGTCCAGTTCACGATTAGCCTCGTGTTATCTTAGCGTAACATCGTGTTGGAATACTTTGTCTTGTGATATTGTGTCAATTCTCATTATTGATTGTTAGCTAGTTAGCTCGCAGTGCTACGTAACCTGAGGGCCGTGGCGTCGGATGTTACAGCGACTGCAACCGTTTTCTTAAAGTTAGTTTAAAAGAAAAAACTAGCTTTTTTATCGCATTAACATATTGAATCGTAACCCCGATACGCATCGTATCACCAGATTCTTGCCAATACACAGACTAGTGCTAACTTAACCTAGTGCTGTTTAAGTCTTGTGCACAAACACATTATTTTGAGTAACGAACGCACATCCGCTGCGACTCGAACCCTAACCCTTCTCGGGAACGAAGGTCCAACTTAAGACACTTTCTGTTCTTTTCTCCCCACAAATGGAGCGATGGATTTGTGGTGCTGGAAATTAAGAGGTTAATTAGTTAAATCAGTGACTTACTGCTAAATCACCGCACCTTCATCATCATCATCATCATCATCATCGTCATGCACTGGTTGCTTAGTAACGACAGACGCGACCTCCCAAGCACCTTAAGTAAAAGGTTAAAAGTGGCGCGGTCGGCTGTGTGTTTTCAGACACTACGTCTGAACGAGCCTCTCGCGCTAACGTCAGCGTTTACTAAGTTCAGTTTTATCGTCACTAAATAAAAACAGGTTGCAGCTCACAGACTAGTTCTTCTGAAGAGATTAGTCGTTTATTATTATTATTAACTACCAGCTGAAACTGTTGTTAACTGTTGTGTAGCTAATGTTAGCGTGCTAATATCCGACACGTTCAGAGAGGTTTAGTACTGTCGACATATCTGACCTGAAACTTGATCAGTTCTGTTTATTGATTCAATCTGGAAGATTTTAAATCACATTTCACTGAAATAACAACAGACCTCAAATTATGAAGCATTATGCTAATATTTGGTTAAATAGCGTCAGTTAGCTTAGCATAATCCGATATTTCCCTCTCATTATAAACTGTTTTCAGACTATTTCAGACGGAAATAAAACTACATTTAAAAACATGTTTTTGGATGTTATGCTAGTTTGTGATGCTACAGTCACTTCCTGTTTACATAGATGGATGCTCCTGATTGGACGGAGCTGCAGATGTTTCCTAGCAACAGATTAAAAGTCTAGCTGAGATAGCTTTAATGTCGTCTTTCCTGAAGAGCTGCTGAGAGTTGTGGAAATGAGAAAATGAAGCCACAGAAGAGTTCAGAGTTTTTCCAACAACAGCTGCTTCCTGTTTCCTCCTCCGAGAATCTGGAGGACTTAAATTAAATATCACTCATGTTACAAACAAGTATTTTACATCGTCTCTCAGTCTTCATGAGCGGAGAGCGTCTGCAGGAGTCTTCAGTCGGGGGTTTAAATCCACATTAGAATGATGTTGTGTAGTCCACTTCCTTCCGGGAGGGGGGGGTCAGGGGTCAGGGGTCAGCTGCGGGAGCCACAGTGATGTTTCATGTTCTGTAGGAGGAGTGGAGGCGGGGAGCATGCTGCCGACTACAACAACCATCATCCCCACAATATCCCATCCTGTGGTGGAGTGCGAGGAGCGAGAGGGGAGCAGGTTCTTATTGGGTCCTACTGAGGAGTAATTCTACTTTTATATATCGGTTATACGCAGTGTTAGTGAGGGGACCTCCTGTCAGTCAGTCAGTGGGATGTCTTCATTTGGACTCTTTTGGGGACAGACATGCGATGAACTGCATGACAACAACAGCAAGAGGGGGGTCTTTTTTTTTCTTTTTTAAATCGTATGAGAGCATTCTCCCCTCCCCCCCCACGTCTTCACACACGGACAGCCAGAGGAGACATGAGACAGTCTGAGAAATGGATTCATGGTTTCTCTTTTAAAAACTGCAGCTTCTTCTTACAATGCCAATGTAGAGGTGGTAGAGAGAGATAACAGAGACAGAGAGAGAGAGAGTGTTTA